ACACTTTCCAATTCGACGAATTGGACGCTTGAGATAAGAGAGTTGTGAGTGTCCTTCCATTTCATATAAATACAATGATTTATTATCGTCGTTACAAATTACGCACATGCACACTTCAGGCAAACATCAGAAGTAAATAGACGCGATTTTTTTTTGTCTCGGAGTTGTTAACTCAGATTTATATTGTGAAACTTTCTTTGATGTGAACAATTTATTTTAAGTTTCTGTTCGATTTTGTAGTGCTCAGATTTTCGTGTTTTCACTGACAGGGATTTTTCATAGAATCGGATGTGGAAATTTATTGTGACATCACTGGAGATTTTGTGGTGCGGATCTGATTGATATTCGAAAAGATGTGAATAGAAAAAAGACGAAAAGGAAGTGAACAATGTTATTACGTGTACTAAGCAACGTTTACGTCATCGCGTGTTCAGAGTGTGGAATACTGAAGTAGCATTGATGCTTATTTTTTTATTTTTCTTGGAAACTGCACAGTTGCTAGCGAGCGGCTCTTACTAATGACTTTAAGAAAGAAACCATTGCGTTGGAACGTGTGTTGAATCGTATGTCAAATTGTGTAAGCAAATTTATCATCAAATTTACTGCTTTGCGTAAACACGCGTGTTCACACAAAATATTAGGTAGGTAAATTTTATACCAAATGTGGATAAAATTAAGATTTATCCCCTGTTTGTATATGGTTTTTACTAAAATACTTTGGCATTGAGTTTCATTTGGTCGTTATCAAATGAGGTCAATAATTTGATTGTGGAATATTTGACGCGTGAATAATGTTGATTTCCTTTTTGGGAATTAATGGAAATCAAGTGGGGTTATTTTTTTTTACTCTAAATGTTTGAGCACTGGGATTATGCTCAAAATTCGAATAAATTGAACCCAACGATATGTTAGTACAAACCATAAACGATTTAGAGATGAATCTTTTATTTATCATCGTTTGTAATAAAGTTGAACCACCTTATTTTTGTGTGCGATTATATCGTAATATCTAATCAGACAACAAAGGAGTATATATCAAATATTCAAGCTGTTAGCATAGTCAAATGATGCCTTTCCATGACTCGGCCATTTTTTTTTTTTTTCGTCTGGTTTTGCTCTAAAATTTTTCTAAGTGTAGATTCAACGTTAAGGTATGATTCATCATAACTCAATGGGGATTTTGGTCAGCATCCACATGAGTTTATCATTTCACTTAGTTCAACTCGACACACTTATATCAAAGACTTACTCATAGGTTAAAATTTTTGGTGAAAAACCGAAAAAGAAATCCGCGATTCTTCTATCTGGATCTAAAGTAGAAAATTGCTAATCTTAAAATTGCAAGAAATCACCGACAATTCCGATTATCTACTACTTGACCAAGGATTTAAGCTGCAAAAGCTTCAAAAGAAAAAAAAACACCTTTAATTTGTAGTAAAATGTATGGAAAATTATACTTTATTTCAATTCAATCAGTCATATTTATTTTTCGCAATTTGTGAGTTCTTTTTTCTTACTTTATCTATATTTGTGCGAATAAATATATCATATTCTGAAACTTACAATTAAAATTAGAAATGTGATTAATATAGCTGTTGTCAAAAAAGGGAACCGAATATTAATCAGTCACACCACACGCTCTATATTGACAATGTATTTGTTTTTAAACCTTCATTTTGATACGCCACTAACATAATTTACACTCAAGTATCTACTTTGTGCATAAAAACGCCATTTAATGTGCTGCCATCTTGCGTATCACTCACGGAAACTTAGTACTCTCAGATTGGACAAAACGACGAGCATGTGGAGTGACTGATATAAATGTGATTACAAAAACTGGGGCTAAAGTCCAGAAATGATTGTATGTATCAGCATAATAATGAAGGGAATATTTTAAGCCATTGTAAGAATTACAGAAAATAATGTCGTCAGAGTGAATAATTAATTTGGAAATTCAGGCTCCAGTTCATATGAATGTTTACATGCAAAATTTGCATTGAAAATGAACAGCCTACTTCGAATGGATGCATACAGCGAATAAATGTGCAGGCAAACGGATATAATAATTTACTTTAATTCTTAATATGAATACCATTGAATGTTTCAAACGATTAAATATGAAAATCGCACATTTTTGTATTTTCATCAAACCGTTTCTCAGTTTTTACAATATCATTTTCATATAGTCTGAATAAATTATATGCGCAGTGTTTTTTGGTTCAAATGCCAAATAGTCTAAATGTTCAGGCTTTGATAAAAACGTTTTTATCAAAGAGTTTTTCGAAAAATAAAATCAAAATTGACTAATTTTGTTTTGATATAAAGCAATTTTTCATTTATATCATTGAAAATAAGGTTTAAGTGAATGAATACAATTTTGTTTATGAATTTTGTTCATTCATAATTTGCAATGTGATGTATGTTTTTTTATGATTAAACCCTAACTTTGAGCACTTTTCTTGAATTGAAGTAGTCCAGCCCGGAATAGAAATTTGATTAATTGAGAATCGTACAAAACATACATTATTTTGATGGGCAGCACTTGCCCATTTGGGCAGTTTTAAATCCCAAATGGGCAGCTCAAAACTCAAAAATTGGCAGTGTTTTACTTAAATTTTCTTGAAAATGGGCAGCTCTAAAAATTTCTTAAAATAATGCATGGTACAAAATATGAATAATTGCAAAGAATAAATTGGGTGAACGTTCATGGTGAGTGTACACTTGTGAACGATCGAAAAAAGTAGAAAAAAAGACATGAAAAAATATTGTGAAAATTCTGAACTAAAAATCGATACAAAAATTGAAAAAAAAAAAATCGCCTATTAAATCGTTACTAGAATGTTGCAGTCTTTGGATGAACAAATTATTCCGTATATGTCTTGAATTCAGTAAAGGTCATTGAACCAAAGAAGAATCAATGAATCTACAAATCAAATAAGTGAACTTCACGTTTGAGTTCGGACAATGGTTTGAGTGTGACTTTGCATTTATCGGGAATTTTAAAATTCATGCTGACAATTACTTCTTTTTCCATGTAAATCGTTAATTTGGATTCGGTATCAAGTGGTTCACGCACTTTGTTGATGTCGGCCACATCGCTTTTGGTGCATCGATAAATGATTTGTTTGGAGAAGATGACTATTTTCTTGAGTTTTGGATTTTGACAGAATGGGATGATGAGATTTTTGAATGACAGTGCCATATCCTGGGCAGTGAAATGAAGCTCTTCCAAATTCGATAGACTACTGGCCAATCGCTTAACGTAGACTTGTGAAACATTACCGAACGACCGCAGCTGAACCACACTCAATTGCTTCATCGACGCGACGATTTCGGGGAATTGTAAATTTTCAACCAAGTAACCTGAAAAATGAGAGAGAGAGAGAGAGAGAGAGAGAGAGAGAGAGAGAGAGAGAGAG